CCTCCCAATTGCAAAATCCATGGCAAGCTGGCTGCTCAACAGGGCTGGTCGCTACGCCAAGCCAATGTGACATATCGCATGCATTGATCTAGACTCTAGAGTGACGATTAACAAAACTGGAAATCAGCCAGGGAGTCTCCTCGCAGGACCGGACGTCTTTTCCGCCTCGATGTGATTCGGTACCGTCCCGCAGATGCAGCCGCAGATGCCGTCGACTTGTCATTCTTTATTCACCACATCCTTTACTCCGTATTGGCACAGCTTTCGCAGTGGTACCTGCAATGAAAACGTTGAAAGCACCAGACCGCAAATTTGCCGACAACTGCCTTATTTCTCGACCAGTCTACTCCGTGTTCCGTATAAGTTTGTGCACCAAATGCTACGAAGTCTCTTACAACCTTGGATATTTCCGAGGCACAAAATATTGACAACATGATGAATTCACAGCAACCGTTAGGGGAAGGAGAACTACCCATCTGCCCAAGGCCATCGCTTTATGCACCGTCTGCGCCGTCCAATGCCCAAGGTAACTGGTCAGCTCCGGCCAGTGCCTTCATCAGACCCAAGCGGGCGATGATTAGTGTTGCATGCCAGAATTGCAGGCGACGGAAGGCCAAGGTGAGTTGGCAAACCTCCCCGTGTACTGGTTTCGAGATACGAGTGTATGCTTACAGAGGTAGTGCAATGGCTCTAGACCAACCTGTAAACGCTGCCACAGTAGGGGCGAGTCGTGTAGTTATGAGCTGGACAGGGGCAAGGCGTTGACTAGCGTGCTCAAGCAGAAGCGAGACGACTTGATGAGTGAGAATGGCCAATACAGGGAGCTATTCAAGCTGCTATGTACCAAGCCCAAGGGTGAGGCGTTGGAACTATTTCGTCGCATCCGAGAGTCTGGCGAACCCTTCATTCTCCTTGAATCCGTGAGACAAGCTGAGGTACTGTTACCGAACCCTTCACCGGCAGAGACTTACTGCAAATATCAGCTGGAACGACTGGATCGCCTGGCTCTGGATGGAAGCATTATCAAGGTTCCAGCTCGACCGTGGACGATTGTTGCGGGCGACGGGCTGGTGTCTGAGCTCATCACGAATCTGTTTCATTTCAATGGTACCTACTTACTGCCAGTCCTCGAAAAAGACGTCTTTATTGAGGATATGAAGTCTGGACATGTAATTGGTTCTAGATATTGCACACCATTTCTAGTCAATGCCATCTGCGCGGTTGAAAGTGTTAGTTACCCTGGTTCCGAGACCCGACCACTCGACTAATTTTAACAGAACTTTTCTGAGAGAGCAAAGCAATTTGGAGTTCTCGCTAGACAAAATCTCTCAGATCGCTTTTTTGAAGAGGCCAAGGGGCTGTATGAACGGGAGCAAGGTCGTGCGTCGATCCCCAACATCATCGCCCTCGTCCTTATGTACATTGCCATGGCTATCAAAGGTAAAGACAGGATATCCCGAATATATCTCTACACAGCGTACGCTCTGCTCAGCAGACTATCGTTGGAGCAGAAGTTTCAGGCCCTTGAGAGCAGGCCTGGTAGCCAAAAGGAGAAGTGTATCATTAGCCGTGTGCTTTGGGGTTTGTACATTGTGGAAAGGTGAGTCGTACATTCTGCGAAAAAGAGAGAAGAGAAATGAAAAAAAAAAAGAAAGAAAGAAAAAATCATAATCGACTAACCGCCACCAGTCGCGTTGCTTTCTACTATTCCCATCCGTCCATCTTACCCGCGCCAAAGGTGCCCAAACCGCCCGACGAATTTAGTACCGCCAACATGGATGTTTTGGGCCGTTTGCATGACGAAGCGACCGGTGCTGTCCCCTTGGTCCCGGGCATCAACACCATAAATTGTAATTTGACAGAGCTCTGGAATGAACTAATGCAGTACATCTGCGGAGGCGCCGTGAAGGGAAGCGATGCCGACTTGCGTAACCGCAAGAGCTTCTACTGCAAGCTGTTGGCGTATGTAGCTCAACTACCGCCCAGATTTCACTGCAGGAGCAACATGACACCGGAAACATGCATGATGAGGTATGGCAAGTCCCACAACCCATATTTGTCTTTCCCAGAGCCCTAAACCAAAGCTCTCAAGAATGCACGAGACGGAAATCGTCTTCACCATTCTTCGCGACGTGCCCCTCGACACGCCCTTCCACAACCTCTACGATCTCCCCGGGACAACCGCCAGAGACATACTACGAAGACGCTGCGTCGCCGACGTGGAGCTAATACGGTTTTACATGTGCAAGTGGCAACCCCTGGGCGGTCTTGCCTATCGCCACGTACACATTTGCATGCACACCCTGATCCCACTCCTCGATGACCCGGCCACGCATCCTGCCTTCTCGACGGCCTGTATGATTGCCCAGCAGTGCACTATGCGCATGAAGGTCATGGGGTACCTGCTGCAGGGTATACAAGCGTTTGCGTGGGCCATGGGCAAGACCATTCCCGAGTCGGCGCGGCCGTTCCTGCAAGGCTGGGGTGCGGAGGCCATAGAGCCAGACTTGCCCGTGTCGTTTGTGCTTGCGCAGCCGGACGATGTCAAGCAAGCTCTTGCGAGGGATTCGGGGTCGCTTTTGGAGGAAGTGGAGGGTCAGCTTGGGTCGTTGATTGAGCTGTGGGCGAGGCTGGGGCAATAGCTGTGCGTTGGAGGGAGAAACACAAGTCCCGTGAAGAGTGTGAGCGGTGTAGAGCAAAGGATGATTATGTAGCGACTAATGAGTGTGTTTTACTGCTTTGCACACGTCACCATGCGAGCGTACACTCGGTGATGGACATTGAATGTTTCTCCGCGTAGACTGCGCGAGGGTGCCGCGGCAGCATGCTACCAAAGGCGGACTCGCCTCTGGCCGTGGGCAATTTCCGAGTCCAACGTGATGATTATGCTCAGTGTCTAGCTGCTGTACCAGACAAGCCGGTGGTGCTGGTGCCGCTTCTGCCGGCGCAGTGGCGTTGTAGTTGGATCAAGGGCAACCGACTGCGGCAGTGAAGTTACAGCCTACGAGTTGCAGTTTCGGATCCGTGCATTATCGAGATGATGTAACAGTCACTGTTGATGGGACTGCGTGGCTGCGACAACCCGGCTCCAAGTTTTGAATTTCGGTGTCTGCTAGCCTCGAGTTCATGCCTTGTAAGTGAATGGCAGCGCCAAAACATCATGTGGACGACCACACTTGAGGAATATACCAAGCAAGTTGACGATGAATACACGAATAAAACATGTCACGAGTCCCCGGAAGTAATACCTAGTGATTGGACAGTCACGGTTACGTCAACTGCATGTGCTCTAACCACTTCGAAAACAGCTAGTCGAGAACCAGCCATTAAGCCAAATGAGTGTTGATTTTATTTCTTTGCATAATTTAAAGAGTGTCAAAAGAAAACATGAATAATAAAGGCGAATCTGTGAGACAAGCCCAAATTCCCGTCGGCTTCAAACCGTCCCTGTAATTATGCCTCAGCCACCTCCTGAACCTTGCGAGAGTAGGTCCCCCACGTTCAAATCGAAAATTGCCACAAGGCTCGTAGAGGCAAATTGTAAAGTACAGGGTGCTCAAGAAATCGACGGAAAACTCTGGTGTAAGACGCGCTGGTAATTCGGACCGGAGCGGGCGGCATATGTAGTCTGTTTTTTCGGGGGCCGGACGGGTTTGGTCGCAGGCACACGAGTACATGTCCTGCCGCTCTGATGAATGTCCTCTGGAAGGCAAACTCGATGGGACCGGTGCTTCATATATAAACTCAATCTCGGGATGTTTTGGGCAGCCTCGCCCCCCAACCAGCCAAAAAGGCAGCGCGGACAAAGAAGTATAAATGACAAGATCTGAAAAGGAGTGGATGATTCAAAATTCAAAATGTGGAAAAACGACCAACACTGGGGCACCCTCCGTTGTGCTGGTGGCAAGTGTTTCGTCGTGCTCGGAAAGGTTGTCGATGATGCCAAAGATGAGCTCTGGGCAGCGAGCCAGACCTCCACATGTTCCCCGGTTTGAGCAATGAGCAAGTCATGATGCGAAGGGTACATCTAGACAAAGTCATCGTCTCTTTCGAAATCCCGTCCGAGATTAGGGCGCTTGAGAGTTGCGAGTTTGGTCGGATGTGTCGCTCGATTCACAGGCGCTCTTGCTTGAGGCATGGGGAGAATCTTGAGGCAAGGTGGCATTTTCCGAGGCCTCGATTTTTTCAAGCTCGGACAGAATTATCTCTTCAATTTGGGGCCAAGTATTTTCAACTGCGGTCGCAATAATCCGGTAATTATCCGCACCTAACTTATCGTTGGATTCCATCCTGGGGCTTGCAAGGCGAGGAGCGTAGATTGCCACGCCTTTGTTTGTTGGTGGTGGTCGCCAATGTGGGAAAAAGGTCAGCCGAGTTGTTGCGTCAGCCCAGACCAGAAATATCTGTTGACAGTGGAGGATAGAGAGCTAGGGGACGCAGCAAAGGTGCAAGCTATAAGCCGTGAGCTGTGTGATGTTGTACGGATGGGAGCTCGAAAGCTTGTATTGATTTGTTGAAGACAAGGGTGAAGGAGGAGAAGAAGAATGAGCGCAAGTCTGCCTCCCCGTCGAGGTTTATATACCTGAATTCTTGGGAATAATCATTCCGTTGGGGGAGGGCGAAGGGCTGCATCAAACGATGAACAATAACATCTCGTGTCCCTGTTCAGATGCTGTGTATGAACTATCCGCCGTCGCAGCCTGAGCTCTACCACATAGCCGGTTTGAACAAAGGGCCCCCTCCAAAACATCAGAAGCGACACAGCCGAGTTCTTGGCCTGGTTAATTTTCACCGGACTCTGCACATGATCAAATGGCCAGCCGACCTCGTCCTTTGGTGGATCATCATACGTTCCGTCCGCGTCAGATGGAGATCGGGTCCTGAACACCGACGAGGCGAGCTCACAACTTCATAAGCTCGCCTGCCATAAAAAGCAGACACGTCCTCTCCATCGGTTCTCACCAAGATCGACACGAGTTGGGCCGGTGTTCAAGCAATCCTCATTCAACACACAGGCTCGCGGCCCTTTCAGCAGACCACAGCTCGCCATGCATGGCGCCGTAAACGTACGACTGCCCTATCAACAGCCAGCGATGCTCAGAGGCCGGACGAAGAACAACGGGAACACAGACGCCACCGACGAGAGCAAGATGGTCTCCAGCCTCGGTGTAGCGGTCGCACAGCCCTACGTACCCCTGCGACGTCCTCGCGACACGCCGCTTCGACATGAACTCCATCAAGGTGCTGATGAGCTCGAACGAAGCGAACATGCTGTCAGCCATACGAGGCATTTCACGGTCGCGCGAGCAAGTCTTCTTTGACCACGGCAGCTCGCCGGGACCCCTGCCCAGGATATGATGCGGCCTTGTGAGCGCCTCCTTATAACGCATCAGCGACCTGGTCCTTTCCTCACCTGCCACGCCATCCTTCAGTATGGCAATGCCCGTCAGGAAACCCATCCATGCCTGCCTCCGGGTCTCATTTGTCCCCGGATACGAACCCGGGCCAACGGCATCGGCGACCCGTTTCGACGAGTTTAGGCAGGGCGAGCAGCCGCGCGGCAACTGAACATCGCCAATCCGGAGCCTCGTCCCGTGTAGCTTCGGTCTGTAACCTGGTTGTATGTTGCCGAAGACGGGGCCGACCTCTATGATCTCGTCAACGACGATGCCGTGAAGGAAGAGCAGGCGGCCGTCGCTGCTAAAGCGAACATTAGGCTCTCCAGGCCGGCTCTGCCTCCCCGCCGCCTGGAACCGACACTTCACGGCTGGCGCGCAGTGAAATTGCCAGTGATAATTGGGCTGTTCAGGACTCGGCTGCTGAGCCCACGCTCAGCTGGGCACTGAGCTCGAAGCATCAACTGCTCCTTCGGGCAGCCATGGCGGGTTTCTGCGGTTAGCCAACGCCAGCTGCGCACTGCCGCTCAGAGACAGACACACGCGGGTGGCCTCGACAGACTTGGAGCTTGTATCCGCGGTGTAATCAATCTCAATCTCCAGATCCCGGGGAAGCTCCTCGGCCAAGCCCAGGATGGCACAAATACGACCCAGCGACTCCGTGGCCGGGAAACAGGACACCTTGGACATGACACGGCCCAAGTCTTCCCTCGCACCAGCCTGGATGCTGGCCCGCATATCGATCAACGTCCGAAGATACTGGCCGTCTTTCCACAGCTCCCAGACCTCAGACACGCCATACGCCTTCTCCAGCTTGGTCCAGCGAGTCGAGGACCGACCGCACACGACAACGGCGCGCGCAGACATGGCAATTTCTTGTATCGCCCACACACGTTTGAACCACGACCGCCCAAAGACAGAGGTACGAGCGTGTCCGGAGCGAGTCTTGCTCGCCCAATACGTCGGGCTGAAGACGCTCGAGATGGTGCCAGGCACGTCCAACCCCGGCCCGCCCTCCCGTCTCATGGCCTTTTTCAAGAACCGCCAGTGGTCCGGATTCAACCTCGTCGACTTATTCCTGGGCACGGTGTCGACGTACCCGGCCATGCTGTCGAGCATTGCAAACGCGCGGGCTCGTGCTCGCCCAGCCAAATGACGGTCTGCTCGCCGCACCGGTAAATCCGGGACATGACGTCGATTTGAGCCTCCTTCTCGAGATTGTCTCTCTGGTTGATACATACGGCGTCGGCCCACAGGATCCGCAAAGCTGTCGGGAGTTTGCGTACGCTGGGCGATCCGGCTCACCTAGCCCGCGCCCTGATTATCTTTGACGGACGTTGAGATATACCTGATAAGTAGAGAGGTCTCACCCTCGCGCCCAAGGCTGTGTGAGGCCTAGTGAATAGAAGCTTTCAACATGCGGCTCTGCGGCTCCGGATTTTGCCCAGCTGCTCCGTAGGATCAACACAAGTTGAGGCGCGGTGCTGACGGCTGACGGGCAATTTCCCCCGCCGGATAGTCTACCCGAATGAGTGAGAACGCATATCCATGGGTGGCAGAAGGCGTAGAGTTTCGCATTGCTATAAAAGAGACGTGTTTCGTTCAAGAATCAGTCAGCGGCTCCAAATGGTCAGACGTATAAGCAAAGACTCGGGTAATGAATGAGACCAAGACCATGGCCCATGCTGACGCTCATGCTCATGCTCACACTCATGCGTCAACTTGGCCACTCACCCTCATTCTTGCAACTCACAACCGCCAAAATCCTACGACGGAATTGGCACGCCCATCATTACGCAGTAGAAGCACCAGCCCCCCAATGGCAACCGTTCCCTTGGCAAGCTTAAAACAATCCCCAACCAGGGCGGCTAATCAAAGCCTTGCATCATGCCTCAGTCTTCAAGTGCAAAACGCATGAATGTCCTCGGAAACCAGCCGAATCCCATGCGGCCATGCCCACAGACCGGCCGACATGAACGTCTGGCTGGCGCACAGCGTGGTCAGCACGGCTCACAGCCACAATGACAACGCAGCACCCGCAAGTCCAGGCAGTCATTGTAGACACGCAAAACCGGGGTTCTGTTGTTCCTGGATCTGGTAAGTTACTCTGTGCCGAGTAACTACTAGTATATTCACACGCACGCCTCCTGCGCTCCGAGCCTTTCGCCCGCAAAAGCCAAGCCACACGCCAGCGTCAGGGCCGTGGGCCGGAACCACTGTCGTCACCGGCGCCATGATGGATTAGGAAAAGGGGGAGGCTTGGTCGGTGCCGATGTTCCGAAAAGGCCGTGGGATGAGTAGAGGGGCGCGAAAACACACGACGTCAACCCCTCCAAGCTGTCGACACTCGGCATCCAAAAAAGCAAATGACTGTCATGGACAGGGAGGTAAGAACAATAAACCTGGTGCCTCGCCGTGTGTGTGTGATTTATTCCTTCTTTCTTTTTTTTGAAACTTGAAATGGGGGTCATTGCGACCAGATATATCAAGAATCATGCGGGACCATCATTGTCCATCCCGCGCAAAAATGACAACCGTCACGTCCCAAACGTGGCTTCACCCCACGATGCCACTGGGCCAACCGTCGGCCAAACCCCAGCTCCAGCTGCCTCTTGAAGCGGTCAAGGGACAAAAGGCCACACAATCACTCTTGGAGCTGTACGAGCTCGGCAGTCTCGTGCCGACGCCACAGCACCGCCATGGCCAGAACCCATCCTCACCTCCCGTCATCCATGTAATCCCGGCCGCAATTGGCATCGTACCGAGTTGATAAGCCCCCCGTACGGGTACCCATCGCCGAGTCTGGTAAGTCTGATGCTAAGCAGGCTGTATCGCCCCCCTACGGGAGGCCCGACGCCGCGAATCGAAGCTTGCCGCCATCCTTCTTGTCTTCCCAAAAGTCCGAATTGCGTGGAAGGGAAAGAAAAGTCCGAATTGCATGGAAGGGAAAGGGCCCCTGGCCAATCAAACCACCTGTTCATCCGGCTTTCTGATGTCAACTGGTTGGTTTTAAAAGGCCGCCATCCCCCTCCCATGGGCTGTTTGTGTCTTGGAGTCGTCTCCAACATCCATACGTCACGTCGTCATCGCTTGCCCCTCCGCTTCCCAGACGCTCAGTATTGTAGCATCACTCGATAAGCCCTCATATCGGTCAACTATGCCTGCTACGCAACAACAGATGACCCAGGAGCCTGCTCCTGCCGTCGTTCCCGAGTCCCGAACTAGCACTGAGCAGCCCGTACGTTTTGCGCCCCGAGCCTGGTTGTTTCGTCCGTGCCATTGTTGCCAAGTCGGCTCGTCCCGTGACTCCCGTTGGCCACATTAATAGCTATTACGCCACGACAACAAAATCTGCTGCGAACCCTTCGCTGACGGTTGACTTTGCAGCGCCCTGTTGAGCCCATGTCCGTTGACTCCATGCGCCTCCGAGGCGGCGGCGAGGAAGGCGAGGTAAGCTTATTCCATTCTAATCCATGACGCGCTTCATCGCCTTGACCGACCACGCCCGCTTCCACTGGCGACTCTGACTGCGGCGTTTCCTCGTGCAATGTCTGTCGGCAATCTCCCACCTCCCTAGAAAATTGAAAAAAAAAAAAAGACACTCTCGCTTGAGCCTTTATTTGAAGTGAGAATGGCCCCATGCTGACCGAGAAACAGGCCATATGCTGCGGTATTTGCGCCGGCCTCTGCTGCTTCGAGTGCTGCGAATGCTGCTGCTAAATTTTGACTCTGATTCCGATACCAAGATGCGAGTTGAGTGTGGGGGGCCAGGAGTCGGCACTGGGAGGTCGCTGGGGCGAGAGTGACTATGCAAATGTCAGATCCCAAGTCAGGTCTGACCCAAACGATAGAGGCAAACGCGGCTTGCTACCGAATGGCGCCGGATAGAAGAAACAGGATACAGTTGATTCTGCACTGGAATTATATCATGTAGCACCAATCTCAAAGCATCACCCCACTACCCTGGAGTCAAATATCCGAGTTGCCAAGGTGCGAGATGCATCTGGACAGAAGGACAGATAACTGGCAGCGGTGCTCTGATCCAGTCTTCCCGAGTTGGGGCGCATGCCGAAGCTCTTGTAGTGATTCTCGTCGTACTCTTATGAACATGGCTCTTCCGTCGAGAAACGAGTGGCGGCCTCACAGCTAATGGCCAGCCAGTCTGTATCATTCATAGCGTAGTCCTCGGATGCGTCCATCACACCACAATCTGCCCAAGTCTTTTAACTACATTCTCGTAAAATGTTTTCGATAGTTTCTCGGCCGCATCCTCTGCACTTTCTTCATGCCCTTGGCGAAGTCCAAGTCTGTTCCTCCCACCAAGACAAGTCCTAACCGCACCCTCAAACTTTTCGCCCATCTCACCTCCAATATCTGCCATTCGCCCAGCACCAAGCAACTCGTCTTGAATTTGTCGCAAAATTTCTGGCTTCCCTCGAGCCCTTCGCATGTCGATCTCAAGGACCTTGTCGACCGTCTTCCAATGAGCGAGTTCGACAAAGATGATGCCTAGACTGTAAATGTCAAAGCGCTTCTTGGAGCGCTGCCTCTCCTTTCTCCTGTTTGTCTGCGTATCCGGGTGTCTATACAAGTCGTGCTCTGCATCATCTCCGGGTACGTCTGTCATCTCGTCCGAACCCCCGGGGCGTGAAAAGTCAAACCCAGAGAGATATGGTTGACCATAGTCGACGCTCCCGGTGCGAGTACGGAAGAAGAGAATATTATGGCTTCGAAGGCCCTTGTGTAACCAGTTGACTGCATGAAGGTATAGGACACAATTACTCAGTGCCGTTGCCAGTCGGGCCCGTTCTGTTACGCATGGTTTTCTAACACTATCATCTTGAAGAAGGCCGTGGAGGGACACTGGCGGAAGCGTGGCATGTAATGAATCATCGCAAGGCCTCTCAAATACCAGACCTAACCGCCTATCAAGAATGTCGACTTCATCAGCAGGGATATCGGGGTCAGCTATATCGAAGAACCCAAGACAGTGTGGTGTTCTGAAAGCCTTGGGCTTCGGGCTGTGACTCAGTAAAGATGCCAATTTCCTCACTCGATCGATAATGTCCTTCTTCGATAAGGAGTCTTCGTGCAGCCCAGTTGCATCGTAGTCTTTCCACTCTATCCACACCTTCTTCTTACCTGAGGGTGTTTTCATGAGCGCTTCACAGCGTGCAGCATCCGATCCATCTACCTCTGAACCGAGCTCTATTAGATAGCGCGGAATCTGGACATTGCCTGACTGAGATGGGGTTGCAAGTTCAAGGAATTTAGCCGCCGCTTCGTCTGCTTGAGAAGGCCTTCCGGTCTTTGGATCAAGAGTTTCGTTAAAAGCCTTGAACTTGGCAAGTTTGGATAATTGCATCAAGGCATCGAGACTTGCTTCCCTTTCCAACTTTGACATGGGAGAAGCTGTCGGGAGGGAGGCAGCTCCCGCATCTAGCCGCGATTTCAACGCCAGCACAAGGTGACTTAAATCTGCAACCCTGTGGTGCAAAAGCAAAACTCCCCTGTTCGTGTCTTCCACTGTGTGCCGGATTTCTACCTGCAATGAGTGATCCAATATATTGGTCATGTTGTCGTTTAAAGCGGAGAATTTGGACAATACCAGTTCAAAAGCGGCCTTATCGAATGACACCCATCGAAGCCTTTGATAACCCTCTTGAGATTTTTCTTTCCAAGCCGTCATCGCGTTTTTGATAAAGTCTCGCTTCCTGTCCGATATGGGAAAGTTGGCCTGTTTCGCGTCTTTATCTGGCGCGCCGACCAAGTTGTCGTCATCTCGATCCATCTTTAGATTATTGTGTCTGCGCTGGTGACTAGTGAACTCGTCAAACAAGCATCGAATTTGCATCAGCATATCAAGCACTGTTTGGCGATGCAAACTGAATATGTTGGAGTTGAGGATCTTGTCATGATTTTCACATTCTAGATCCAACAGCCCCGAAGTTTCGCTCCAAGCAAAAAGACGCTGCTGTTCCATCCGAAGCCTCAAGTTGAGGTATTTACACTCGTCATTGTATCCCAATGCAGTAATCAAAAGCTGTATGCCTTCAAACGGCGGCGACAAGGTGTATTAGTGTCGCATTACTATTTGAGTACTAAAATTCGTGGAGACCTGTCGGCAACTCGTACCTTGAATACAACCGGTGTACACCTGGAGACCAAGTGATGCCACACCGAGGGCCAAGCCAGCTACAGAGACTGGGTCCATGGCCGTCCGGGAAACAAACGGTCGATAATGTCGTCAGTTTTTACAATCTGGGCCGGCTCTCGGGTGCATGACTGGGTGTGGTTCATGCGAAGCTGAAAGCTGAACTCAGAGCCAACAGTGCGCAACAGGCTTGCTAAGAGCACAAAACATGTTCTAGCACGCGGGAGAAAATGAGTCTTTTCGTAGCCACGTGGGGTAGGGAGCGAAAGCAATTGCGAGAGCTACTAGTTACTACTTTCAGCTTGAGGTGTCGTGCGTGTCAGCACCTCAGCCCTGATTATATCTCATATTCTGATTTGCGACAATACTACGTACTCCGTACTGCGGAGTACGGGAGGGCGATCCGCGACCCCGCGCGCACCTCGTCCAATGCCACGGATGCGATGCCATGGCTCTGTTTTTCCTTGTGCAACGTAGGTGAAGCAACCAAACTGCCGGGATATGGAGTAGAGCCCTTGCCAATGGAAATGAGTTTTCGCTGGCTGGGGCCCGGAGACGGTACCCAATTTGATACAAGTGTCGACGGGATGGCACTATTTCCCGCGTTCGAGAGCTGCAGTGCCGTATTAGACCTGCAGCTGGGCTGAAAGTGACGGCCATACCAGACACATCAGCCCCCATGGCACATTGCCTATCTGTAAGCGGGGCAAACGGGAAGGGATTCAAGGGAATACGGAGCCGCTGTCCTCGAAATTTGATTCAGGCTCGCATAAAGACCTGGCAAACAGGACTCTCGTTGTGCTGTCCACCGAAGACAACTGTTGAGTTACCGTACGGGTGACAGGGCATGGTTGAGCAGCGAAATGAATGATAGAGTCCCCGGCAAACCATTCGTCCATCGTCTTGCACTCCATACGAAATAAGCAGCAGTGACGCCAAGGAATGCGTGGTAAAAGCATGGAGTACGTAGCGAAGACAGAAATGTCAGATATGTGAGAGCAAGGATCATGTATACTGCTGGTTCTGTACTCCATACCCCGTACTCCGTAGATCTGGCCGCATTCTAAGACATGCCGTGTATAATTTGTTTAGCAGATCTCACTTTCGTCATCTGAAAGGCCGAAACGAGTGTAGCCGTCGCGCTGGCGGAACAAGGCAGCAAAGTAAGAGAAACTAACCCTCAATAGGCTGCTGCACAGAAGCGACCTTTATCCTGTCAAAACAGGACTTTGGGTTTCATTTAATGCGATGCGGGCGATGCGGCTGTTGTGTAGAACAGTAGAACACCCACTCTTATGCGCCTGGTCCGCCTAGTGTTCAATCTAGAATGTGGGCAAGGACAGAGCAGAGAGCTGGGGCCGAGGTTCAGACAAGAGAAAGACAAAGAGAAAGGGGGTCTCAGTTGGACAGCAGCATGGGCCATGTTGGTCGGCACGGACTGGAAATTGCATTTAAGAGAGGAAAATGAGATTGGAAATTTTGGCCGACCCAATAGATGTAACGAATTTACCAAGCTGACACGAGGAAGGAACGTCGCCCATCGGTGTTTCTCAACAGGCTGCATGGAAATCAGACAAATGGCAAGACGGGCAGATGGCCTGATGCGCCTTCCTCGTGGCTCAACAACGTTGACCGGGTTTAGACTTGGCTCGAGCAATTGGGAAAGCGCAACCACCACCAAATGCCGCACAGAGCACATATGCAGCATAGCAGATGCATTTGCTCGACGCTCACTGCGTCCGCACAAGCCTGGCAATTGTGTATTCTCGCTCCATGTCTCTTTGCCGAGCATTCCGTACTACCGAGTATTGTTCTCATTGCTGTGCAATTTGCTGTCAATTGCTCGAGTTGCACATTGACCAGCCACACAGACATCCACACCTTCCCATAGACTTCCACCAGCTCCTGCGCGGCAGCCCGGAAACCCAGGACATGGTATGTAGACGCCCTTCACCAGCCGGTGAGCCAAGCCAGCCAAGCCAGCCATTGCCCAGCCCTCTCGCTCACTTCGCACAATAATAAATAGAGAACCGAACACCCCATACTAGGGAATCAGATTCTCTGCTGGCTACGTCACGAGTCACGACACGCTCCTGGGCCATAGACCAAGCCAGGTGGCCACGATTCCAAGTTTATGGCAAGGCCAGAGAACATTCCACATGCAAAGATCCTAAACGGTCAAGACAAGGACACAACCACTCGCATTTTTGGGGGGCCAAGCAAGATGATGCTATAATGCAATGATGCACAAATGTCTACTAGTTGAGACTCCGCCGCCACAAAATTGCTTCTTTGCTGCCGCCAAACCTTCCCCACCCATCACAACCTTGGATCGACGCTTTGTGGGAGCCCTTACTTTTTGTGGGAGCACTCAGCCTGTAGGAAACCACAAAGCAGACGACTGAGCCTTCATCCGGACTAGTCGTAAAAATCCCATCCTTTCGTTCGTCTCCTCTTTTGACACTAATCACTCAGCCTACGACACCTTTGGCAGCTTCAACACCTTCGACACGTGTGGGCCGAGCCTGTGGATATTCTTGATTCTTCCTGTACGATTACTCTCTAGCTCACCGGGATCCTGAGATTAAGGTCCAACGGCGTGGATATCTTCAGTTCCTGAGCCGGATGGCAGCTCTTTTTCAGGGTTTCAAAACCGGGCAGCTTCCATGTCTTCCACATCATCACCCGGCTCTCAGGTACAAAGCACAACCCCCGCTGCTGGTGTTGCAGATGCGGAGAAGAGCACAACTCCTGATATGAGCAATGATGGACGCTCACGAGAATCAACTGTGGCCGCAGCTTGTCTGGCATGCGTAAGTTGCCACAGCCCTTCCTGCCTCGTATTGGACTGCCCTTTTGTGAACTTGGAGCATTTCTTTCCTGCTTCGCAACTTCCTCGCCAACGACGCATTCCTATTAGCCTCGGGCGATGACCACCTATACTAATTGTTCTGCACTATTAGCGCAGCAAACATCTCAAATGCGATGGGCAAACACCATGTGTCCGTTGTCTCAATACACAGAATGAATGTGTCTATATTGCTTCCAGGAGAGGATACAAAGGTCCTCGTCGTGGCACAGCTCAGAACCCCAACAAGAGACAGGCCACGTCGCCTCCCGACCTAAGCCCTAGCAGTTCAGATTGTCCAATGCTTCTCGGAGCACGAACCGGGTCGGCAAATATGTCCACGGCTATGGGCAGCACGTTTGGGCCGCCGAGTATTCCTGCGCAAGATGCCGAGCCCACTCAATTCTCCCAGCCGCAGCAGCCTACTAACATGCAGCTGTACAAGTCTTATTGTGCAGTTAATGGAATAGAACCTTCGCCGTGGGCAGTAAATCAGAACGGAAGTCGACTTGCTGTGCACGTTCCTGTTGCAACCACGGAGGAACGATGCTTTGATTCGTTCTACCACCACTTTCATGCCTCTCATCCGTTCGTCCTACCCAAGCCCTTCCTTTTGCAAATATCGAAGGAGGCCCCTTTGAAACCAGTACTAGCAGCAATGAGATGGGTTGGGTCTTTTTTCCTTGATGTTGGTAGTCCTACTCAAGAACGACTGTTGAATGAAGCATTCAACCTCATATATGCCCCCAATCGGTCCAAGGACGGGTTTCTGATTCAAGCTATGATGCTCCTCATTGTTGGCCTTGACGGAAGTTGTCAGCAGGACAAGGCAAGGGGTATTTTAAGCGATGTGGAGGCCTTGGCGCTGGAACTGGGACTGAACACTCGAGAATTCGCGGCAAACCATGGACGCGGCATTCCCGTACTGGAAGAAAGCTGGCGGCGCACTTGGTGGGATCTATTTGTCATTGACGGAATGGTTGCTGGCGTCCACCGCGTAACCAATTTTCTTCTGTTTGATGTCTCGGCTAGAGCCGCACTCCCTTGCGAAGAAGATCAGTATTTGACCGCCGTGAGTGTGAAGCTGTTTTTCTTTGCTCTCATATCCCCTTCAAAGCTCTCTGCCTTCATTCGAGCTAACCAGGAGCTGTAGAGAATACCTATACCACTGTACTTGGACGATCTTGAAGATCAAGACTTTTCTGGGGAAGACCGCGAATTTTCATCCTTTGCATATCGAGTACTGTGTGCTCGAACTTTGGGAAAATTTATGCGAGTCCCTCCTATCTTCGGACCAGAAGACGAAAATCTAGGGAAGATCGAAACACTTCTCACAAACTGGCGGCTTCATCTGCCGCAGTCGAAGCGAGACGCTTTGCAGAAGAATGGAAAGCTGGACGAAATGATGTTCCAGGCACACATGATGAATCAAGCCACTTCCATCATGCTTCATCAGCCACACTCTCAACTCGACTCATCTCCGACCCAAGATATCAACTCTTGTGCTCCCCATCAGGCTATCCCTGCTGGCGACTTGTTCAATTCACATACCAGACATACTATCGAATCTGCCAACAGCATCAGCACAATGATAACCCACCGCGTACCGCTCCTTTCGCATACTCACTTTTTCACGTGTGTTATCACGATGTCGTCGATTGTCCATCTGAGCAGATGGGCTTTGTTCTTCATACCTCACGACGACGACGATCTTCGGCAGCAAATTCGCCTAAATATTGGGGCATTGAACCAACTCTCTAAGGTCTGGGGAGCCGCTGATCGTGCCCGT